ATAAAAAGACGTTTTTTCAGTTTTTCCTTTATGTATCTATCGGTAACGGGAGTATAGGGACGTGTAATATTTTCGGACTAAATTTCATCCGTACGTTTATGCTTGTTCACCCCAAAACCGTATCATTTACTTAAAATCTTATTTGGCAAGAAGGCAGATTGAGTCCAAAATACAATATTTTTCAAAACCTGCCCATGAAGATGACGAAAAGTTGGTTATTCAATACCATTGTTACAATATCAACCATGGCTGATTACAGATTTTAGAGGTGAATTGTAGAAAGGCAAAAAGTTCAGCCAGCGATCTGGATCTTTCTTTTTCACGTACAGGTTACAGGCCTGGGGTCGTATTCTGGAAAGGATGTAACTTACAAATTCTTGTAACTTTTTAAGAGTAACAAATATTTTGAGCAAACCGTTTAAGTCCAAAATTACAAATGCGCGTACGTAAATTGCTACAGACTGTTGTAAGTTACAAACATTCGATCAGGCGCGTCTTATAATGAGTACCAACATAACACCAAGTTTTGCTTTCTAGAGATCAGTGTACGGTGTCCTCTTAAGTACCGACTACTGACCCCTACATTTATTTGTATCTTTTTATACCTCCATGCATACAAATACATTACATTGGCTTTCCAGCTAGGTGGATTGCCGGAGTGGTTACTTAAATCCAGTTACACATATGATAGAGAAGACTTCCAGACAAAGTACTAAATGACTTTTACTAGCAGACAATAGGTTGTAATTAACTAATTGTAACTCTCTTAGCTCCTTTTTTCTCAGCATGCCACATGATTTGAACTTGACTTGTTCCAATCACTTTTGTAATACCCATAGTAATGTCTATCTCCAGTTTATGCAGCAAAAGCTAAAAACTATTGTTTTACCATTTTGCATTTTAGTTGGATTGAAACACCCAATGTTAACCTCATTTTTATTAATCCCTCAATAAGCCAAATATACATAGATATACAAGTCCTATACATACACATGTGCCAGTGTACATTCAATACATGTACGCTTACATTTTTTACATAACTTTTTTTTTCAGACGTCATGATATCAAAATATACCTGTACAGAAAATGAAGTGTTAAACAGAGTGGTCAAATATCTAAAATGGGCCACTGAAAGGAAAAATGGAGGGGAAAGAAAATAACAAGTAACTACTTGAACTACCGTTTAAACCTTCTGGTGAATATTGCTACAATATTATTACAGCTCATGCTTGAAAACTGGCCTTATCTGAAACCACTTTTTGTAAAAGCCATATGCTCTTATTATTTTTTTTACCAAGCATTAAACTGTATAAATCCATGATAATTAACACAATGGAACCAGTTTTACATAATATTGTGTATCTTACAGGAGCATTTCAAAGAAACAGTCCAGGTTGAAATATGGTCTTTATTGCACTAATTTTACCAAAGTTATCCTGTTGTCATACATATACAATGTATGTTTCTGCAATTTGAATTTGTGTGCATAATATGAGATCACATGAGAAACAGAATTATCATAGTGATAGATTTTTATACTTTAAAAATTATGTCCCTTATTTCTGACAACCATAACATGGCACAAACTTTAGGAAAAGATGTAAAAATTATCGAAAATGAAATTCACTTTACATCACTAGCTCTGGCCAAACTTTTTCACCAATCTACACTTGCAACAAAACTTTCCAATGAAATTCACAAATTTCAACTAGGATTTAATGATCTCTTGTTAGGCAAACTGTCACCTCTTCTTGTTCCCCCTCATGATCTGAACAACATTCTCAACAACAATCAAAACAAGTTATCAAACACCACCTTAAAATTGCATATCCAAATATACAGCATGTCTATTCTACATCACACCCAACAGTTAGCAAACACAGAAACAAGATTTTGATCACCCTGCCAATTCCACTGACTCCCTTTGTCCAACAACTTACTGTTTATTCTGCAAAATCATTTCCAGTCCCCGTCATCAACAGCACAACTCAAAGTACACATTTTTAAAANGTTGTAAATCTTTAAATACTTTGTTTTATTGTCTTTCCAGGGTGCACCCAACACAAGGTTTATATTTCTGCAGAAGTTTAAGGAGTTTCTTAAGGAAAACATGACATCAGGGAGAGTAAGTGTGTCCGTGCGCACAAAATATTTCATGTGCATCAGTTTAATGGAATGGTAGACAAATATATTCATTGGACAGCATGCAAGAAAAATTACTTGGTCCCACAATATGGATTTTTGAATATGATTTTTGTTTATTTAACTATCTTTATTTATGACTCAAATTAATTTGACTGTCTTGAAATGCAAAATAGCCAGGTGGCAATAGTTTGGAATTATCTTCTGGAGTATTATCACAAATTGTCATCATTTGATAGATTTCCTCAGGTCTTTCTTTCTTTGATGTGTGTAATGTGTAAGTCGAAAGTAAATGATAATCTTTGTTTTAGGTACATCCTGTCCAGCAGTGCCCCCTACCAGTGATATTGTGTTTATTTCACAGAATGATCCGTCTGCTTAGATCATTATGGGATGATCATGCGTCCCATGCTGCTTCACGGGGTCTGGTCAGCAGTGACAGTATGTGCTGGGATAGTCTTCCAAAATTATTTTCCTTTTTCTTCTTTTCTTTTCTTTTTAAATATTTTTCCATAGTGTTAATCACAAATGTCAGAATTTTGTCTTAAAATATAATAAAGATGGAGAATTATACATTAATTAAGATGGAGTTTTATACATTACAGTTGTGTAATTGTACAATTTTAGAAATCTGTTAACAACTGGAAATTTTTTAATGAAAAGATGAGGGAAACCATTACACAGCTATTTTGTCATTTATTTTATTTTCTCTTTACTTCTATTTTGGTTGGCATATCATACATAGTCGTACAATAAATGCTTCTGTTTATGACCATGGTGTTTTTTTCATTACTGTCATCCAGAGGCTCATGTAGCAGAATGGTGTTTTGCTGATGACAGTGTGACATTTGTGGACATCCAGAGATTTGGAGGAGTAATGAGCCATCTGAAGAAAGAACACAAAGGTGAGGTACCCTCCTCCTCCTCCTTTGTTAATGAGATATTTGAGACTTCTTAGGTTTCAATAGATATGTGGTAATTACTTGATCTTTTCAGTGGTGGGGAATTTTAACGCCAAGGTTTATGTAGCCTTTTTTCAATCAGACCATCTGTTTATAACCGAATTAATAAAAAAAGACTAAAGAAGAATCATTTCTTTTGCCAGAATGAATAATTTCCAGCATTTTATCAAAAACTTATGCTAGCAACTGCTTAAAAGTTGTGTCTTTGCCTTTCAGAACTTTTGCAGAAATGCAGTGAGCACAGATCCAGATCTGATCTACATCTCCCCCCTACCTCCCTCTTAGAGCTGTTAGATGGGACAATCATGTTATTTGACATAGGGGCATACAAACAGCTGGGCAAAATGGCCACCCTCCATGACACAATGAAGGAGTATGTCCTGGCACTACAAGACACTCAGAGTAAAATTGACCGTGCTGCACCCGAGGTAGGTTGACGAGAATCTTTAAAGTTCCTTTGGGTGTTAAAAACATTTTTTAATGGGGTTTGATTGTGGGGAGAAGTTACTCGGGGCCTGTTTCTCAAGACAACTTCAGTCTGAAATTATTCTTTATGATAAAGGCTGTTAAGAATTCTATCTAGCTAGGTTGTGTTTCACAAAAAAGATTTGAAGATTTGGTTCCTATATATTTGGGTCTTTTAATTGTTCCCCCTTTAGCACTTGACAAAGAGTCATATTCTCAGTGCACATGGTGACAGAACCCAATAGGCAAGAAAAAAACTTTTATTCATAACAACAAGATCAATATTAATTATTGTAGAGTCAATATGATATAGATGTCTATCCAATTTCCTGAATGTGTTTATACAGAGCTTTTAAAACATTACAGCTGAAAGTTTGAAATGTATCATTGGATAGTGAAAGATGGAACATATAGTTCAGAGATTTAATCTCTCCTGCTAATGCACTGCTAATTGAACTGTTTCTCTGAATAGTAAAAATTAAAGGTGTAACTGAAGGCTCCACATTCATGTTTGATCTCAGTTTCCATCCCTGATTGGTGTACTAATTAACCTTCCAGGTTCATTTTCAATATTATTTCTGAAAGAAGCTTGTTTGGGTTATCTTTTCATCAGTGATATGTGCAATCAAAGAATGTCAAGATCTTCACTTATTATCATTATATTTATTATTTATATCAAATGTCATATATTCAGATGACAGAAGTGTTAGCAGAGGTGAACCATGCCAAGTCCGTATTCCTAGAAAAGTCTGCAGAACAAGCTAGGCAGAGAGCTTGGCTCATAGCAGTTGTCTACTCCAAGGTAATAATAATTTTTGTAAAAGCAAAGATATATCATACTAACTAGTTTGAGGATGTGTATGCAAGTGTGTATGTGCACACATGAAGGCAAGTACAAAATTACTAAGAAAGAGAAAGTCAACATTTTCCATGCACAAGGAAAAAAAACTAAATTTAGCTGGTATCAAAAAATCTTCTGATAACTCCTTTCTCAGCATACACAATCCTTCTGATTTTTGTTTAATTTGGATATTTTCAGTGACTTTTCAATGCAACTTAAATCAAATTTCAGGAGAAGCAGCTGGATGTACAGTGGATAATGGAGACTGCGATGCGTACCATTGAGAATGCCACGGTCTTTTTTCCCTTCATACCAGAGTACTACATTGAAGTCTGCATCAATGCCTACAATGCTTTGAAGCACTACTTCAATCCCATCCAGCCCTTCAGGGCTCTGGAGCACCTGGATAGGATTAATGAAGAATTTGCAAGGTTCTTGGCAAAACATTTTGCTAACAACCAAATTGTGAATACAGGTAAGTATGGAAATATTTAGTGGTGTGCATGTATACATGCAGAAAGGCACTCAGAGTACCTGCACATGTGCACGGACACACACACACACACACACACACACACACACACACACACACACAC